CAATTTTATATTACTTTCACTTAAGTTTAAACATTTATGTACTTCGCTGGTTTTCCTCAGCCCTATCCAATGATATTAGACAAATACCAACACTATTCGTTAAAAATCACGCTTCACCAGTTTCTTCTCTCTGATCATGCCAAATCTCAAACAAATAGAGATACTTAACTTCGATGCCCCAACCACATTCCTATCTCTCAAAACCTACATGTAGATCTTATGAGTATTTTAATATAATGTAAAAATAATTGTGCATGCATGTATATTTTATGATTATACATGTGTTATTCATTACGATAGTATAATATATATATATATATATATATATATATATATATATATATATATATATATATATATATATATATATATATATATATATATATATATATATTGCATTATTAAATTTAAGATTCTATTCTTGAGGACTACCTGTAAGATTGGTTGATGAATTTAGAACGAAATGTAATAAAGTTGTTATTATTATTATTATTATTAATAGTAGTAGTAGTAGTAGTAATTAATTAATTAATTACCTAATCAAATAATTAATTAATCCACGCTACCATAAAGTCTCGTATATATTTATACCTTTAGACACTGGCTAATTACTCGGTTTTACATACATCTTCCCAACACCGACTCCCATAATCAAAAAAAAAATCACTAAAAACTAATAATGTTTTGAACGGAGATGTAAATACAAATAGCACATAGCATAGGATTATTACACTATGCAAATAGCACGTAGCATAGGATTACTACACGATGCAAATAGCACGTAGCATAGGATTACTACACGATGCAAATAGCACGTAGCATAGGAATATTACACTACGCAAATAGCACGTAGCATAGGATTTTTACACTATGCAAATAGCACGTAGCATAGGATTATTACACTATGCAAATAGCACATAGCATAGGATTATTACACTATGCAAATAGCACATACCCTTGTTTTGTACATTAAGTTAGACAAGGAAGAGTAATATGTACCAAAGGAGACTTTTATCATTTCTGGAAACGGAAATGTTTATACCGGTGGTTTGCAAACAACCTGATCATTAGTAAATATTAATACCACTGAAACAATGACAAGAGAAATTTTAGAGTAAGAAGTACATGCTCGTGTAAAATAGACAGATTAGATTAAGATATACAGATTAGAGTAAGATGTAAAGATTAGAATAAGATGTAAAGATTAGAGCAAGATGTAAAGTTTAGAGTAGGACACAGGGGAGTAGACTTGCCACCTCCTCCCGACTTCACCTCTAAACATATGTTGGCTTACATCCGTAAAACTTAATAGCAGACTAATACATGCTTGTCCCCTCCCACATCGAAAATAATTCTGCGGGCGCCCTAGTAAGATTTACAGATTAGAGTAAAATGTACAGATTAGAGTAAGATGTACAGATTAGAGGAAAATGTACAGGTAAAAATGTGCAAGAAACACTACACATATGAAAGTTGAATGTGACAATATCTCTATTAAAATAGCGTTGAAATATAAAAAAGGGTTAGAGAAAGAAACAGAAAAATACAAATCGTAAGACTCCATACACTCTTTCAAGGGGCCCCGAGTGGCCGAGTGGTCTAAAGCGCTGTCCGTTACGGATCACTGCCATCTCACCTCTGTCTACGTGGGTTCGAGTCTAGGATTCGGCGAATGTGGATATGTGAGAAAGCTTGCCAATAGCTTCTCGTGGGTCGGTGGTTGTTTCCGGTGATTTTCCGGTTTCTTCCTCCACCATTAATACTGGCCGCCATGAATAGCCTATCGTGTGCTGAAAAATGGCGTTAAGCCCAACAACAACAACAACAACACTCTTTCAAGGATTCGGACACTTTTGAAACTCACGGTAAACTAGGAAACTTTATTCCTGATCTATATTCCTAGACATTTACATTTAAAAATAAAATCAGATGAATTAATGAATTTTCGGCTTTTGCTTTTCTTGGAGAATATTTCCCAAGTAGTAAATGCAAATTGTATGACACTGACTGTGTTACGGTTTATATTTAAACTTGTTTTTGAAGTTGATAAGAAGACAATAAAGATACAAATCAGAAACTTAGCGTCACTCGTATTTTTCTGGCCAGAAAAGTGCGACAATTACTTTAATAATAATAATAATAATAATAATAATAATAATAATAATAATAATAATAATAATAATAATAATAATAATAATAAAAATAATAATAATAATAAAAATAATAATAATAATAATAATAACTAACAACAACAACAATAATAATAATAATAATAATAATAATAATAATAATAATAATAATAATAATAATAATAATAATAATAATTCTGTTTCATACAAGGAAATTATCTTGAGCTTCACAGGAGCCGATACAATGGGATACGATTGTCAAAACCGCCTTCCCCACCTTTTTCCAAGATAAAAACAGATCTGGTGCAGACAAATCGATCGATTATTCCACTCCATACACATCCATCTACAACCATGTTAAGTCTGAGAGGAAAAAGCGAATTCCATGATCAGAACAAATTCTCTAATTGAAAACAATTATAGGTAAGCGATCGTGGTAAAAGTTAAGTTCTCAAATTAAGGATTCAAATAGATGGCCGCATACACATGTCGTTAGATTTTATACAATATCGTGAGGTATGGCTGATAGTTAAACATAAACGTACTGCTTGATTAAGTCATTGTACATGAGCGGACACTATTATCTACTAATGTAGCAGCAGATTATACATGTTGGGGATCTTACGGGTACTAATGATTCGTATGTTGTGCTATTTTCAGGTGTTTGATTTGTTTTAATTCTCCAATTCATTAATAGAGCCTTACATCTTTCGAAATGATTGTAATTTTAGAAGCAACAACAACAACGCTAACTATAATAAGGTTCCTGCTTATGCAGTCAATTCCACAAAGAAAGAAAAACAATTAAAAACTCCCATGTAAATTTGAATAGAGTATTTTAAACGTTATTTTGTATGGTAATGAAGATCATTAAATTACTCTATAAAACAGGGCAGAGATTGGAGAGAGAGAGAGAGAGAGAGAGAGAGAGAGAGAGAGAGAGAGAGAGAGAGAGAGAGAGAGAGAGAGAGAGAGAGAGAGAGAGAGAGAGAGAGAGAGAGAGATTTAAAAGTTTTAAAAAATGTATAGTATTAAATATAACATTTGCTAATTTGAAATTTTTCTGTACATTTTCACCTGTCTCGCTTGATAGTTAGTTCTCAAGTTGAAACAGTATATGAATTCTACGAATTGGTATAAAAATAAGTTTTGTAGTTATTTAATAGTTGAAACAACCAAGACATAGCTTGCAATTAGATTCATTTAACTTTTTGAATTGGTTTTGCCAACTTCTTTGGTATCAGGTTATACTTTCTCTTATGAAACGTTTTTTGCGTTTTATGAATATAAAATCTGGAGGCAAAATGAGTGTCATGTGCTAGATTCTTGTTATATGTTTATCATCTTATTTTCGTTCCTGTATGGTGGCCTCGCCATTTGCAGTCAAAACTTGCTTTGTTTTGTTTTTCAGCGATGAAGCAAATCAATGGTCCACAATGCAAATTCGAGTCATCGGACATTTGTGCAATTGATACTCATTTGTTGCTATAAAACAGCGGGCAGATCGGTATCTTTGTTAGACCCAAGACAGCGTTGCAATATCGTATCAGCAGCTTATCAACAAAACTTCAGAGAACGGAGGCGATCGAGATCATTGCTTTAAGAGCCAAAATTCCAATGAATATTTATAGTGATTTATACGTCCACAGGAGACACTCCTTCATAGGCCATCGAGAGAAACAGGAATACCCAGTGAAATTCCTGCATAGGATATTGAGATGAATATGGAGACATGACTGTATAGAATTTAATGGAATAGGGATACCTAGAGGTATTCTTCCATAGGTCCTTGAGAAGAACAGGGACATATCTTCAAACGCCATTTAAAGAAATAGGGATACCAGAGACATTCCTGCATAGGCCATTGCGAAGAATAGGGAGACATTCCTGCATAGACCCTTGAAAGGAATAGGAATATCCATGGATATGTCTGTATAGGCCATTACGAAGAAAAGGGATTACGAGAGACATACCTGCATAGGCCATTGCAAGGAATAGGGATACACAAAGACATTCCTGCATAGACCATTGCAAGTAATAGGGATACACAAAGACATTCCTGCATAGGCCATTGGGAATAATAGGGATATATTTCTGTATAGACCCTTGAAAGTCATATATGAATACACAATTACATTCTTGTACAGGCCACTGCGAGGTATAAAGATATCGAGAGACATTCCTGCCTAGGCCACTGCGAGGGATAAAGATATCGAGAGACATTCCTGCCTAGGACATTGAGAAGAAAAAGGATAATAATCCATTGTTTTACAAATGTACGAATTTAAACAAGGAAAATTGGCCTTCACGAAAATGTCAAATTTAGTGTACGTTGTGATATTTATTGCCAGTAACGGTATGCTGTGTGCTGGCGCGTCATTTGACGGGAATCCTCTTTGTAGACAAGATTGTCGGCTTTCCAAGGTAAGAACACCTGTAAAAGTTTCCACTGAGGAACTGACTCTCCTTCGCGTAATTTGTCAGGGTCTAATATTGTTGTTCATATATATAGTTTTTTTTTTTCTTACGTTTAAATTTTACAGTTATATTAAGAACGAGTTGAACATAAAAGAACAATGACTACCTAAATATATGCACGCATGCAAAAACACGTTACACGTATATATAGAGAGATACACTTACTTGAAAACTAAAAATTAACGTGAATTTCCACATCCAAAGATATCTTGAGAGTAAGGACCACAAACTATGATACATTTTTCAATGACTGCAAACCTTTGCGAATAATATGTACCAGATCTAAACGTATACCTGCCCGCTGTTTTATAACAACAAATGAGTATCATTTGCTTGCACAAACAAATCTGTGATGACTCGAATTTGTATTGTGGACCATTTAAATTGCTTCACGACCGCTCCGGTGGCCTAGTGGTTAGAGAGTACACCTCGGATGCGGAAGTCTCGGGTTCGAGCCCCGGCCGAGTCATACTAAAGACTTATAAAAGTGGTACTAGCAGCTGCCTCGCTTGTCGCTTTAAGAGGTTAGGGCTATGATCGGACGGCCTGGTGCCAGGATAATGTGACTGTGTGGGACATCATGCTACATGTCTGCGGCATGATTCCTCAGTGGTAGACATCATTATAAACTGTCACACTCAGATATCGTAGCGACAAGACTGAAAACTGTTAAAGCTTTTTTAAACATCCAAATCACAAAACTCAAAACTGATTCATGGCTGAAACACAAATATAACAGTAACGTGGGTGAAGGGCGAATGCCCGTAAAATTGAAATTCGTAATATTCAGGAATTCGACTTCTTCCATTTAACCCCTTATATTACATTCTATCAAGAGACTTAATATTGCACTCTACCTTAAGTTTTGCGCCCTATATTTTCAGAGTGCATAACGGATCATGCCCTACCCCCTGATTACACTGCCCTATATTTTCAGAGTGCATAGCAGATCATGCCCTACCCCCTGATTACACTGCCCTATATCACAGAATGAATACTGACCACCTTGATACGTGGAATTCAGTAATTAGGCGTTTTCCTACCTCTTTTGGTGTGTATGTGTCAATTTATAATTATAATTTAATGTATATACAAGTGCAAATTAGCCAGGGACACCGTGTGGCCGAGTAGTCTAAAGCGCTCGCCGTAGCGGACAAAAGCTGGACCTATGAAAAAGTTGTAGTTGAAATTTCGATGCCGTAGGTCGAGAAATCCAATATCTCGTTGTTGGATCGAATTGCATGTCCTAAAAGTTCCATTTCAATTTAGATTTTATATGTTGAATTATACAGTGCTGGTTTAAAGTTATATTTTCTATGTCGACGTTTTACATTGTATATTTTGAATTACACAGCAGTGGTTGAAATTTCAATATCACATGTCGAGAATCTGTAATTCAAACGGTGTATGCAACTGTTTGTGAAGAATGTTCCATTTCATATGGCGAGTATTTAGATTTGATCTGTTTAATTTCAAAGCAACGAGATGCAGCCTCCTTGTTTTAAAAATAACTCGGTCCATTCTCGAGAGCGACTTCTATCCAGGAAATTTATAGTAATTCTCGTCCTGTGAATGGTAACTTTCAAACTGTAAATAAATAAAATGTAATGGCGCCTCATAATTGAATATAATTGAATACACGAATGATATATCTTAATATCCGATATTATTTTGAATTGTCAAAGTTGACATTGTATAATGTTTTTTAATACCAACACATCATTTCACTTTATAAAAATTACAATCTGACAAGCACAATAAAATGTCCAACCATCGCTGTGTAATTCAACAGATACAATATAAAATATCAACATACAAAATGGAATTTTCAGCACAATGTTATTCGACATGTTAAATTGAAACTCTCGACATATGACATTAAAATTTCAATAACCACCGTGTAATTCAGAAGGTACAATCTAGAAACTCGACATTGGACGTCGAATTTTCAACCAGTGCTGTGTAATTCAAAAGGTGAAATCAAGATACTCAACATATGAAATCGAACTTTTAATAAAAAGTTTTTGAACCAATATATAAATTAGGAATTCTTGACGTATGACATTGAAATTTTAACCATCGCCGTGTAATTCAAACGACACAATCTAAAATCTCGACATAGAAAATATAACTCTCAACCGCTAATGTTTAATTCAACAGATACAATATAAAATCTCGACCTAGAAAACGGAACTTTGAGGAGAATCCTTTTTTGATACGGCATGTGAAATTGGAATTCCGGACAAATGACATTAAAACTTCAACGACAACGTTCTGATTGGACCCGGTTGTGTCCGCTATAGCGCATCATAGGTTCTCCCTCCGCCAGTTATACTGGCCGCCATTTATATATATATCCTATTATGTATTGAAAAATGGTGAGAAAACCCGTAAGAACAACAACAGCAACATAAATTCAGCGTGTTTGTGCATGAAGGTGTTAACTTCCATTTGTACAACGAGTGAGTTCTCGTGTACCTCGAGTCGTTACCTTCGTCTTTATTCCATATTTTTTGTGAAATGAATGTATGGCCGAGTGAATTGGGGTGATGTTGGATGAAAGCTATGCCATAGGTGCCTTACACTCGCGGCATGGGTTTGATTCCTGCTTGAAGCGAATTATAACTGTGTGCGTGCATGTGTGTGTTGATTCAAAACCGTATATAACGTATTGGTGTTTTACTGGCTAATGTATTTCTTGCAAAGTATAGAATTGATTAGTAATGTAAGATACACCCTAACATACAATATTTGTTAAACGAAATACACGTACATATTACAGTACTGACCGAGCAATGGTTTCTCAAGAGGTCAAATCTTTCCCACGCTCTGACAGTAGACTAATGACGAATGTGAACGGCAAACGGATACGTATATTGTATGGGGGAACAGCCATTCTAAACATAAACTGTAACTTTACTCCATTGTCGACAACTGGGGATGATAGACTTATAAAGGTGGAAATATAGAACGGTAACTGCGACTATTTTTTGCAGCCCTTTTGCTATTTTCCGCTTGCAAGTAATTTTGAAAGACTTGGGTGAATTGAAGGCGTTATTTGATATATCTAGCCAGTGTAAATTGCTATAGATGCGGGGGTGATAGAGAATGGACTGCGAATGACAGGCTATTTGGTTTGGAAAACCTTCCTCTGCAAATTCAACGAGAGCGAAGAAATTATTCTTTCAAAAGTTATTAATAGATACGATTTTAGTATCAGATAGCATTAGTAACTTTAAGACAAAATGTCATCATCTCGACTGTGAACAAGTCAACGAGTATTTAACGGCTGTGGAATATCTGTTTAACGCAATCATCGGTCTGAGTTCAGTAAGGTAATCAAGACTTTTGTTCTGTAAGTGTTTACGAAGTCAAATGCCTTCGTTAATAAGTCTTATAAGTCTTTACGCAATGAACGGCCTCAGTTCTATATTTGATTACACAATTGTATGCCTAAGTTCTATACTGGTTAGGCAGTCAAAGCATTCATAGCAGTCGGACATCGTGGATTATTTTTAAAAACTGTATAGACTTGGAATCCATTGAAAGAACCCTTTACGAGCGTCTCGCAGATTTGTTTGCCGGAAACAGATTCTTTGTTAAGCAAGGCGTAGGTCAATGAGGCGCCTTGTCTACCGGGTTTTTTTTCCAAGCAATGATAGATTATTTAATCACTGAATTAAATGAAGCTTTGCATGGTATAAACATGGTTGATCGTCATATGAATATCGTTGTATTAGCAGATGATGTTCCTATAAAGAGTAATTCAATGTAAGGTATTCAATTCAACGTTTGCTACCTCTGCCAAAAGGTAGATTTCGATATAACGTAGACATGCACTGCTGTATTCAATAAAAAAGAGAGCGCTCGTTTTCCCTGCTTTCTGTTTCATAAATCACAGATTTGCGCGGTAAAAATTGCAAGTACCATACATTTACCCTCAAGTAAATGTACCATCTGCTATACAACTTAAGTCCAAAGTTGCATATTTGCCACCGTATCTCCAACTAGCAGAGTACCTCTAACATGCAACTTAAAGTTAAACTAACAAATATGCCAGTTTATCTCTAATATATCAACGTACTTCTAACATGCAACTTAAAATTAAACTAGCAAATATGTCAGTGTACCTCAAACGTGTCAGCATACGCCTAACCTACAACTTAAAATTAAACAATGCTATAGAATAAACATGCTGAATTCCTTTTTTTCTATGGATATCAGCGAATCCCTAAGCAAGTCTTACAATATGGCAAAGAATCATTATAACTTCTGTTCTCTAAGGATGCGAACTATGGTCGAACATTTCCAATTCTATGATATAAAATTGTTTCAGAGTACTTTGTGGGGTCACTGTAAACAAATATAATAAAGTGAAATTGTCTTTTTTCACAAGACCTTCTGCAGGCGTCTGGTTAGTCCGATAAATCACCCCACCCCAAATCTGTTCTGATACCGATGGACTATATGTGGTAAAGGGCTGATTTACCGGCCTAGAGTTTGGTGTCTGGAAAAAGCTATTCACTGTACATTTATGTCGGTATTTTAAAGGCTTAAAATCTAATTAATTTGATACCATCCATTTATAGAATTGCTAATAAATATGATTTTTCGGGAAAACATTCTTTTATATTTTGCTTTTGTGGTACAGCTTATAAATAATGGGGTCGGGAATTATCGCTTTTTCTTACCTTACTAAAAGCTGGGAAGAACGTATCTAGGCAGTTAATCTGGAATTAATGGATAACTTTAAATATCTACTAATTAATGGATGACAGCAAATATCTATCAAATAATGGATAACTTTAAATATCTATCAATTAATTTACAACAGTAATTATCTATCCATTAATGGATAACTTTAAATATCTATTAATTAATGGATAATTTTAGATAACTATTAACTAATGGATAACTTTAAATATCTATCAAATAATGTATAACAACAAATATCTATCAATTAATGGATAACTTTAAATATATACCAATTGCTAGATAACAGCAAATATCTATAAATTAATGAATAACTTTAAATATTTATCAAATAATGGAATACAGTAAATATCTATCCAATAATAGATAACAGTAAATATCTATCCATTAATGGATAACAGTAAATATCCATCAATTAATGGACAACGGTAAACATCTATCCATTAATGGGTAACTTTAAATATATATTAATTAATGGATAATTTTAGATATCTATCAATTAATGGATAACTTTAAATATATATCAATTAATGGATAATTTTAGATATCTATCAATAAATGGATAACTTTAAATATCTATCAATTAATGGACAACAGTAAATATCTATCCATTAATGGATAAATTTAAATATCTATCAATTAATGGATAACTTTAAATATCTATCAATTAATGGATAACAGCAAATATCTATCAATTAATGGATAAATTTAAATATCTATCAGTTAATAGAAAACATTAAATATCTATCAATTAAT